AATGTCTTGACCTCCTTTTCTCCAAAGATCTTCTCCACCATCCCACCTCAGCTACCACTCCTGGTTACATTCTAGACTTTGTGCAAGAATCTTTATTCTAATCTCCAACCACTCCTCCTATCTTTCCAGCTTGCTTCCTCTAGTACTATACATTGACCCAGCTATGCATTGACCCCACAAGAAGCTACCATCCACGGGTACCACCATCTTTTCACCGTCCCTCCCTTCATATCTTCAACTTCCCTTCTTATCCTATTCAAACTCCATAGGCAAGCACCATGATCACTTCCTGCATATACCCTCAAATCCTTGCACCCACTTACTGTTTAGGTAAACCACTACTCTGGTCAGACCGATCCAACCCTCTACTTCGTGTTCCTCCTTTGTAATGAAACATACCTAGAGAAAATACACAAACCTGCTCACTTGTCTCAAGGGCACCCTTAATGTCTGGCAATCATTTTACTTCCCTAGTCCCTTCACTCAACCTCAACACTATTTCACACTTTCTCTTCTTATCTTACACTTTTATTACTTTGTCCTAGCTTCTCATTCTTCCTATCTCAATGTGAAAAATTGAAGCAATCAGAAAAGACCTTCTCTATAAGTTCCCACTATCACATCTATCCACCCACCTGCACCTGTGACATACAGATTACCTTCTCTGTTCTTATAATGGCTGAACTGTCCTTACTCCTAGCTTAGACCAACCCCTCCAAATACGCGGTAGATCCCAGCCCTTCTCAGCCGCTTAAAGCACTGCTCCTGCCATTTGCCTGTCTCTCCTACATCACCAATTTCTCCCACTGTATTAGATCATTCACGACAGCACACAAACGTACCATTATGTATCCCTTCTTTATGAAAAGTCTCTCAGTTGGGCACGGTGGCTCATGCCTGTAATCCCAGCACTTTAGGAGACTGAGGCGGGCAAATCAATTGAGTTCAGGAGTTCGAGACCAGCCTGGCTAGCATGGTAAAACCCCATCTCTACTAGAAACACAGAAATTAGCCGAGTGTGGTGGTGGGCACCTGTAGTCCCAGCTACTCAGGAGGCTGAGGCAGGAGAATCACTTGAACCCAGGAGGCAGAGGTTGTAGTGAGCCGAGATCGCACCACTGCACTCCAGCCTGGATGACTGAGCGAGACTCCATCTCAAAAAAAAAAAAAAAAAAATGGAAAACAAAATCCTCTCAATCCTGTCTCACTTTGGGCTCCCATCCTGTTTTTCACCTTCCCTTTACAACAAAACTCCTAGACTGTTTAGATTCCCTCTTTCCTACCACTTACCTGAAACTGCTCTTCCTGGGGCTGCCAATGCTACATGCACATGCTAAATCAATTCTCATTCCTCATCCGACTTCATCTACCAGCAACTGTTTTTTTTTTGAGATGGAGTCTCGCTACGTCACCCAGGCTTGAGTGCAGTGGCATGATCTCTGCCCGCTGCAACCTCTGCCTCCCAGGTTCTAGCGATTCTCCCACCTCAGCCTCCAAAGTTGCTGGGATTACAGGCGTGAACCACCACGCCTGGCTAAATTTTTTTTACTTTTAGTAGAGACCGGATTTCACCATATTGGCCAGGCTGGTCTTGAACTCCTGACCTCAAGGGATTCGCCCACCTCGGCCTCCCAAAGTGCTGGGACTACAGGCAAGAGTCACTGTGCCTGGCTTACCAGCAACATTTGACATGATCTGATCACATCTTCCTTCTTGAACGACTTTCTCCACTTGGCTTACAGGACACCCACTCTCCTGGGTTTCATTTCTTTTTTTACTCAGGATTCCTTGCTAGTTTCTCCTACTCACTCTGCCCACTAAGCACTGGAGCTCACTCTCTGAACCCTTCTCCATCTATAGTCACTCCCTTGATAGGTGTGTAAAGGTGCTCCTACTTTGATAGCTCCAGGCCAAGCCTTTCTCCTGAATCCCAATCTTTCCATAAATGGCTACCTGACATATCCCCTTGGATGTTCAATGTGCAACTCACACTGAGTTCTGATATTCATCACCTGCCCAAACTTATACCTGTCTTCCTTTCCATATCAGCAAATAACATATTTTATTCTTCCAGCTTCTCAGGCCAAAAACTTTGGAGTCCTCCTTGACTAGTCTTTCCTGAACACCCAATATCTGATTCAGTAGTAAAATCCTGATCACTTTGTCTTCAAAATATGCCCGATCCCAGTCACTTTTCACCTTCTCCCCTGAAATCATTCTAGCCCAATAATCTCTTCTCACCCGAAATGTAGCAATAACCTCCTAAGCAACCTCCCTACTTCTGCACTTGGTCCCTCTGGTCTATTCTCAACAGCATAGTCAGAATGACTCCGTGACCCATTAGGCAGATCATGTCGTTTCTCCGATCAAAAGCTTTCAGTGGAGGCCAGGCGCGGTGGCTCACGCCTGTAATCCCAGCACTTTGGGAGGCTGAGGTGGATGGATCACGAGGTCAGGAGTTCAAGACTAGCCTGGCCAAGATGGTGAAACCCCATCTCTACGAAAAATACAAAAATTAGCCAGTATGGCGGCATGTGCCTATAATCCCAGCTACTTGGGAGGCTGAGGCAGAGAACTACTTGAACCCAGGAGGTGGAGGTTGCAGTGAGCCAAGATCATGCCACTGCACTCCAACCTGGGTGACAGAGCGAGACTCTGTCTAAAAAAAAAAAAAAAAAAAATCCTTCAGTGGATTCCAGCTCATCCAGAGTAAAAGCAAAAGTCCCTCAGTGACCCACCAGGCCCTATGTATCTGCTTCCTCCCCACCCACCTCTCTGATCTCCTCTCCTGATACTCACATCTGGGCTCACTCTGCTCTGCCACGCTGGCCCCCTTGCTATTCCCTGTTGCCTAAACTACTGTACTTCCAGATATCTAAATGGCTTGCATCCTCGCCTCCTTCAGATCTTTACATGGATGTCATCTTCTGGGTGAGGACCACCCCAGCCACATATCCCCTCTCTTACCTCCAGAAATGTTCTCTTTTGTTTCTCCTTAGCTCTTTTCACCAATATACTATACTTTGCATTTACCTTGTTTACATTCTGTTTTCCCCATCTAAAATGTAATCTACTTGAGAGGCACAGATTTCTGCCTACTTTATTCTGGTGCCTAGAAACAGTACCTTATACACAGTAGGCCATCAACAGATATCTGTTGACAGGATTTAAAAAATGAATAAAATCATAATAATGAGCATGAAGCCTGCCTCTGTTTCCATTCTCCATTTTATCTCTACTGCCTAGCACAATGCCTGGCACAGTGGGCACTCAATAAATATTTGTTAAATGAAATAAATGAATGTATAGGATTGTTGAAAAGATTAAGACACATAAAATATACTAAAGTGTTAATAACAGAGTTACAGGAATGAAGAATCAGTATTCCTGTCAGTTCCTCAACACAAAGTAATCTAAATTTATCACTTTCTCATAGTGGAATCTGGAGTTACATGTTTTCTTTTTTTTGAAACAGGGTCTCGCTCTATTGCCCAGGCTGGAGAGTGGTGGCACTATCACAGGATCCTCCTGCCTCAGCCTCCCAAGTAGCTGGGACTACAGGTGCACTCCACCATGCCTGGCTAATTTTTATTTTTTATTTTTTGAGATGGAGTTTCACTGTGTCACCCAGGCTGGAGGGCAGTGGCGTGATCTCCGCTCACTGCAACCCCTGCCTCCCGGGTTCAAGTGATTCTCCTGCCTCAGCCTCCTGAGTAGCTGAAATTACAGGTGCACTCCACCATGCCTGGCTATTATTTATTTATTTATATGAGATGGAGTCTCACTGTGTTACCCAGGGTAGAGGGCAGTGGCGCAATCTCAGCTCCTTGCAACCTCCGCCTCCCAGGTTCAAGTGATTCTCCTGCCTCAGCCTCCTGAGTAGCTGGAATTACAGGTGCGTGCCACCAAGCCTGGGTAATTTTTGTATTTTTTTTTTAGTAGAGACAGGGTTTCACCTTGTTGGCCAGGCTGATCTCGAACTCCTGACCTCAAGTGATCTGCCTGCCTCAGCCTCCCAAAGTGCTGGGATTACAGGCACCTGCCACCACACCCCATTTAATTTTTTATTTTTATAGAGACTGGGTCTCTATAAAAAATTTTTCAGAATATGTTATAGGTTTGTGTTAAAACAATATAAACCCAATTATAATCCAAAAACAATTATAATCCAAATTATAACTGTTTCTCGGGACAATGGGTAAAGTGGCCAAGGAAGTGGCTGGAGTGAGGTGAGGCTAGCACTGACGTATGTAGATTCAGTGTCCTCCCTGCTAGTGAGGGGAGTGGCAAGGAGGTGTGGATGGGTGGAGATGACACAAACATCTCTGAGTGATGGCTGTACTCCCTTCCACCAAGCAGGCCCAACAAATTTGGTGGAAGTGTTCTGGTAGCAGCAGCAAGTGGTTCAGAAATCTAGGAGTAGGGGCCAGGCTCGGTGGCTCACACCTGTAATCCCAGCACTTTGGGAGGCCGAGGTGGGCATATCACCTGAGGTCAGGAGTTCGAGACCAGCCTGGCCAGCATGGTGAAACCCCATCTCTTCTAAAAATACAAAACATTAGCCCGGTATGGTGGCACGTGCCTGTAGTCCCAGCTACTTGGGAGGCTGAGGCAGGAGAACTGCATGAACCTGGGAGGCGGAGGTTGCAGTGAGCTGAGATTGCGCCACTGCACTCCAGCCTGGGCAACAGAGTGAGACTCCATCTCAAAAAAAAAAAAAAAAAAAAAAAAAAAAAAAAAAAAAAAAAAAAAAAAAAAAAAAAAAAAAAAAAAAAAAAAGAAGAAGAAGAAGAAAAGAAAAGGAAATCTAGGAGCAGGGCTTTGAGATCCATGAAGGATCTCATCTACTGGTTCTAAAACTCTTCCTAACATAGTTCATGGGGTGTAAAAACTCCTGTTAGAAACATAAACTAAACATCCATCCCACTCTCAGCCCTTGCGGTGAGCCTACAGATATAAATGTGGACCCAAGGGGTAAAGCACATCCATGCAGCACTCACGTCTATTTGGAAATATATGGTAGGTGCTTGTACTCATTCCCTGACCTTTCTTTCCACGAGTGTTGTACAGTGGTATCACGTGGATTATAACATGTCGGGCACAAGCCTTTAGCGGGAACTGAAGTTAAAGATCAAGTTTTCTGCACAAAAGTTAGCATGGTACCTCTTTCCTGCCAGTGTCTTCTTGCACAGTGATGGGAGTCCATCCTTTCTCTGTGAGCCTTTGGCTGCCTTTTAGTGATCCGAGGTAAGACCATTTCCTTATACAAATGTAGTCAGAATCCACCCGTTCCCAACTCTTTTAAATCTGACTCACCTGATTACTACAAAGATCCAAGTAAAAGGATCCAAGCACACCTTGATTTAAAGAATCTGACCTAGAATTTGCCATTTAGCTACCAACGTTTTAGCTCTGAATGTAAGGGAAGGAATGCTGAATCATCCTGCTCCTAAGAGACAAACAGTAACACAACCTCATTTCCAGGTCAGACTCGTTTTATGTCTTGGTGGGTATCTGTCCCTGAGTTTGTTACTACACTTGTTTCTTGAGCCAATTAATCATACAGAGCTGTGGGTGGGCAAATAACTTAATTCTTCCTAGTGAATCTGTCCTCATTTACACATCCCCTCATGATCTCCCCCACACAGAAGCTCCTTAGCTCATTGCAGTAAAAGTCTCACATACTTCAAATTAGCTTTTAAGACACTTCATTTAGTCATCCAACACACATTAACTGAAGGCCTACTATGTACCAGTTACGAAGCACACATTTGAAGAATCCTGGTTCTTCAGAGGGAGGGGGAATATAAACTGTATAAATAGATAAATTATAGCAAAATATGATGAGTGCTATTTTAAAAGGTATGGACAAAGCTATTTGGCAGCAGATGGAAGAGAGGGACTACTTGGGGACATTGGGGACAAAGCAAGGAGCTCAAGCAAGCCTTTTTAGAGACAAGTGACTTGTGCTGGATTTGAAGGATGAATAAAGGTGAACCATGTGGGAGGGAACAGTGGGCATCCGAGGCAGAGGGAATTTTAGTGCAAGGTCTGGAGTCACAGACAGGCATGGTGAAATCAGTGTAGACCAACGCAAAGGATAGTGTGGAAGAGAGGAGACAGTGTTTAGACCAGAATTACTGAGTATTTGTCCTAACTCCCAGCCGGTGCTATATTCCCATATATCCTTATTGGCATTTAGAAGAGTTAACAGGTAAAAAGAAGTTACACCCATGCCCGGCACAGAATAAACACTATATATATAGAGAGAGAGAGAGAGCTATGACCATTATTATTATTATGTGCATTCTGGTGTCACGTTCATCACTTTATCCCTAGGGTTGAGGATATTTAGTACGTATTTGTTAAATGAATGAAGAACTTGCCGTTTCTAAAAAGGAAACGGAGATGGACATGATTTTCATATAATGCTACACCCAGCAAAGAGTGAACGAAGGCTGTTTTCTACAGGATTGCTTCAGTCACCTAAAGATCATTTTCCTCTCCCCACTGTCTCCCCACTCAGATTACTAGATTAAAAATAAAAATCATGAAAACTTATAATCTCTTGTCTGAATCCTATTTCCAGATATAACCTGAAACTCTAAACCCTGGATTTGGCCTCCCACTAGCCTCCAAAGAGAAAAGCTCAGGAATGAATTTAAGCAATTGGCTGAGGCACCGCCATACCTGCCCCAATCAACTCCATCATCATATTCCTACATTAATATAAAGAAGCGATGGAAAGGAGTGAAGGCACAAAGGCTTTGTAAAGGTGATACCTGAACTTCCTAAATTATAAAATTACATTCCAAAGTCACTGTCTAGCCTCAACATAACTCAATTCAGTTCAATTCCACATCTTCTGAGAAAGGTACTGTAGGCTACAGACATCCTAAAGGAAGCTTATTCCATATCACTGGGCTAGAAATTAGAAGACCAAGTTTTTTAACTTTAGGTTTGCTGTTAACTAACTGGATGGCATTGAGGAAGTCACTTCACCTCTTGGAGCCTCAGGTTCTTTGTAAAATGAAGGAATTAGAATGGATGATCTGAAAATCCTGTCCAGCTCTCACATTCTATAATTCTCAAACAGTAAATAGTATCAATATCATCATAACTACATATTTCTGTATTTCAAGGCAAGTTGAATTCTGGAATTTTTTTTTTCGAGAAATACTTTGGCTCAGCAAATTGCCAAGGGTTTTCTATAGTTTGACTACAGAAGAAACTGAGAACCAGAGATCATATCCTGATTCATCAAAAAAATATGTATTGAGAGCCTACCAAGTGCAAGGCACTATTCTAGCCACTATTATAGCGCTGAACAAAGCCAACGAGGTCATTCTCACGGGACTCACTTGTGCTTTAATTAATCTGCTTCCATAACAAATCTTTGGACAGCTTTGGACAGCAGAATTGGTGATCTAATAGTTTTGTTCTACGTTTTGTGATTTGTGTGGGCTACCTCGGAATTAACAAAAACTAAAACTGCATCAAAAAATAACTGTCTTCAATTTCTCCATTGACCAGGCAAATAGCTGTGTAGATTTTCCTGTAGTTAAAAAGAATGGGCTGGGCACAGTGGCTCACGCCTGTAATCCCAGTACTTTGGGAGGTCAAGGCAGGTGGATCACCTCAGGTCAGGAGTTTGAGACCAGCCTGACCAACATGGTGAAACCCTGTCTCTACTTAAAAAAAAAAAAAAAAAAAAAATTAGCCGGGCAAGGTGGTGCAGGCCTGTAATCCCAGCTACTCAAGAGGCTGAGACAGGAGAATCGCTTGAACCCGGGAGGCTGAGGCTGCAGTGAGCCAAGATGACGCCATTGCCCTCCAGCCTGAGCAAGAGAAAAAAAAAAAAATGAACTCCTGGTTTGTGAATAGATTAAGGTATTTTCACACACGAATTCCATTAATATTTAAGACACTAAACAAAAGGGTTTGAATGTTCCCTGTGGCACTAACATTTTATTTTATCTTTTTCTAGGACTGATTCTTTAAAATGGGGTTTTAGATACAGAGCATTTTCTTGCTCTTACAGAATTTGTGACGGTTCTACAACCTGAAGGTGATGTGGAATTTGGCTACTGTATCTCAAAAAAGAGACATCTTTACAAGCTGTAAAATAAATAAGCAAAAAGTTCATCCTGGGTAGAAAGATGAACATGTTATTTAATCTAGGTCGGTGAAATACGACAGATTATATAATTTAAATATGATACTGAAACACATAAATTTAAAGTGAGAGGAACCTTAACCCTTAGTTTCTATAAATGAGAATCCTGAGATTCAAAGACATAAAGTGGCTTGCCCAAAGCAAAGCCAAGATACTCATTAACTGCAAAGCTGTAATAGGAATCCACATCTGCAGATTCCCTGTTCAGAATTCTACTTCTACATTAACTGTGAGAGTTTTAATAAATCAAGGAGAGAGGGTACCGGTTGCAGCTGAAAGACACTGTTGTAGATTAAATGTAAAGTACCTAATGTTTATGGTATATTTCTCCAACAGGATATACAATCTGATATTAAGTATGAGGGGACTTCGATAAACTTAGGGATGAAAAAATCTGTAACAGCTATATTCCACTCAGAAACAGGTCATATTCAAAATCTCACTTGGAAGTAGTCTTTCCGAATTCGAAATTCCTTCCTCTGCCAAAGCAAAGTAGCAAATTACGAGCTTATTTAACCAGAAATAATTGTTGAAATAATGCGAACAGTAACGCAAGATGCACCCTGAACTGGGCGCAAATCCTTTTGAGTCCTGGACTCCCTGAAATGGTTGGATGCCTCCAGTGGAGCCCCAGAGACACTCAAACAGCAAGCCAGAAGGAGTATTCTGCGTCAGGGATTCCTAAATCAGAGAGGCCTGTATTAAGGATACATGGAAAAAACAATTAACCTTTTGAGGTCAAATCCACAGACGACAACCATGTCTTACCCACAAAAGTCTCCTGAACACAGCAGTGGAGTGATCGGTGAGGCCAGACCTGTCTGAACCTGAAATCCCGACTCTTCTGGAATCAGAATTCAACGCTGCTAGGGAGAAGGATGAGTTAAACCCATCAAAGGTCTACACTCCCACTTTACACTCGAGAAGTGACTCCAATCTTTCTCAGATTTCCCCCATATGTGGCTTTCTAGTTTGGAAATAATATTCTATGTGGTGCACACTACTGCTGCTCACACACTCCTAAAAAACTTTTTTAAAACAGTCATCTTAATCGTAATTTTGTAAATCTGTTGTGGGTTTCTAGAAACCTCAGACTCTAAACTGTCAAGGTATTGATGCGAGCAGGATTTGCAAATTTGGGGTTTAACAGCCTGATTTTTCTCGGACACTCGGGCTGCTTCAGGTGAATTTGGGTTTCTCACAAAATGAAGTCCCCTAAGTAAATTAAATCGCGTTCTCGAATCTTGGCCTCGGGGCAGGTGGTGATGGTTAAAGAACCTATGAAGGTTAGCGGCTTTCTCCAACCCCAAGCGGTCTCGCAGCGGGAGTGCGGCTGGTGTGCGGGCCTGAAGGAGACACCGCTGCGGGAGGCCG